ACAGAATTATGAATGCTTAGAATCCGTACAGCCAATAAATAGATTTATAGTTTATCTAACCTTACATTTTTCGTCGATAAAACAGAACGGAAATCTCAGACTTCTCAAGAACGTTCAGGATCATCTTAATATTTAATATATTTTTTTCTGGAATAAAGTAATTTCTATATTTGTGTCATAAATTATTCAAATATAATAATAAATTTAAAAAAAATTAGAAAAAATTCAAAATGACGATGTTGCACTTTTGAAAAACGATGGAAAGTAATTGTGCCTCGCTTGTAATATTTTCAAGAAAATATCCAGCGAAAATCAAAATATGTCGGAGTTTGTCGCGAAGCTTTTAAAACATCTTGTAGGCGTTTATAGTGCCCGGGGTGTTACGAAAAGACGAGGAAGGCGAGGAAGCGTGTTCACCCGTGTCACAAATGTCACTGTTCATCTCGCTAGTGGGATATAAACTGATGCTCGTCGTGGCTTTACGAGCCTTCCGCGCCGTTTCGTCGAAAGAACGAAAGAGAATAGGAAATACGCGGAAGGAGAGATTTTTCAGATTTAATTACGAACAAAATGGCGACCTTTAATAACCGCGAGGAGTCCGAAACATAGATCGATAAGGGATTTATTCATCACCGGAAAACATATGATACGCGGCGGTTGTTCTAATTTCAGCGCATTCCATGTCGACAAGCTTCTTTCACTGTTTTAATTAAAGATACGCCCCTGGACGTCCAACTGATTTATAGGAAGATCCCAGTTCCAACATTACCGTCTAATATGTTCTTTCGCGTTTGTTTTATGACAATCACCCCTTCTGGTCTTTAAATTTTGGGAACTAAAAATTGTCTTTCGAAGATTTAATCTTCAGAAATGAAGAGATGCTAAAGATTTTAATATCTTTGAAATTTTCTAATTCCCTCTGTTGGAATTAAATTAATTCCGAAATTCTAAAATTTTACCGAAATTTAATCACCCCGAATATAAGTCTGTTCCAAAAGTAATAGAAAAAGAAAGTTTTAGAATGTCGACATTTAATTCAAGAAGATTAGGAAGCGAAAGGATTCGATTCGCTCATCGATATCATATCGAATTTTTTTTTCTGAAGAATATAAATGTTGTAAAGTATAATTCAACATAAATAAATTGGAAGCTTAAAAAGCAGGTTAACCAAAGCGAAGCACGTTTATATGAGAATTAAGGGGGTAGTTGCAAAGGGGAAGAAGGGGCGGGGGAGGGAGAGAAGAGGGGCAAAAACTATTGCGAAGTAGATAGGAGAAACGCTGTGGTGAGAGAAAGAGAGAGAGAAGGATCGGTGAACAAAGGCTGGATACCGTAGACGTAAAACAACGACCACTCGAATCGACGATTGCTGTTTTCGTTTCGCCTGGGAGACCCCGCTTCTCCCCCTCCCTCTCCCTTCCCCCCCCCCCACCCGGCGTTTCATCCCTCGGAGTTTGCCGGAAATCGAAGATTAAACCGAATCGAAGGAACAAAAGATTATTGAATTTCTCCGCTGTGTAAAATTCGAAACAGAGTCATCGATAATGCTCGACGTTTTTCAAATTGCGCACGGCTATATACGTATTGTTATCATCTTGTTTTATTACATTCTTCACGAGAAACCGTATCGGAAACGGACCACTCTTGCGATTAGATTCAAATAGATAGAGCATGCGAGTTGTTGGAGGAAATGGAACATTGAATACATGATGCTTATATTCGCAAGGGAATTAAAATTGATGCTATTACATTGATGTAAAGTTTATTGCAAAATTGTAAAAATTCGTTCTTAAGGGGATCGTAAGCAAACCTAAATTCCCTGTTTTATCGACAAAATGTAAGGTTAGATAAACTATAAATTTATTTATTGGCTATAAGGATTGTTTCTTACCTGAAATTAGACCGCTTCGCCCTTTGTTAATATTAATATTTTAATTTGTACAGGAATAAGATTAATCAATCTTTATAGTTTCATATATATCTTGGTTACAGATTTATGAATTCTAAGCATTATACTCTCTTAAGGGAATCCTAAAGCTAACCTAAGTTTCATTCCTGTTTTATCGACAAAATGTAAGGTTAGATAAACTATAAATCTATTTATTGGCTAAATTCTAAGAATTTATAATTCTGTAACCAAGATATATGAGACTATACAAATTGATAAATCTTTTTCCTGTACAAATTAAAGTATTAATCTTAACAAAGGGCGAAGCGTTCTAATTTCAGATAAAAAAGAATCCGTATAGCCAATAAATAGATTTATCTAACCTCACATTTTGTCGATAAAACAGGACGGAAATCACAGATTTCTCGAGAATGTTTAAGATCACCTTAACACTCTTCTGTCAATGAATAGAATTCTGAAGCAATTTCAAGTATTAAAAATGTGTCGAAACTTTTCTTAAAATATAACGAAAAAAAGAATGCAACTATAAAAAGATAAAAAAATTTCATTGACAGAAGGGTTTATATTATTTTTTTTAATAATAATGAGACTCAAGATTTTTTCCCCTATTATTTTATAGTTCCCGGCAGTAACGTTTAAACATATACGAGAATAAATTCAAATTTTAACGATGCAGATTCTAGGGTGGATGCTGGATATAATAGTAATGTATATCGATATCTCTGTTGAGAATTCCATTTTTCCTCGGAGGCGAGAGCTTTCAGCCGGGGATTTTTACTCGGACCAGATAAGAAAGGCGAAGGGACATATAAAAAAAATTAATCACTCGAGAGGGAAAGCGCACTCGTCCTTCTGCTCCATTTTCGCGGCGCATTTTTCTCGGATCACGCGCGGACGTCTCGTAGAATCGACTCGAGTCAACTCAAGTCGGGGTCGAGGCAACACGGAATGCAGGCTATTGGTTCAATGCGATTTTTCACCAGACCTTCCCGGGGTGAAAAATGGCGAGCACACCTTCCGCCGTGTCTCTCACGGCTGCGCGATCCCGATGAAAATCTTTTTCCAAGTCAGATCCGGTTCTGACGATGCGCGAGTTTATTTTGAAATCGTCAGCGTACATATTTCATCGTTGCAGCGTAACGGCGGGCGTTCCTTAAGAGATCGATAAGCTCATTCCTGGATTACTTTTTTACTTTAAGCACGTCTTTCGAACTTGTTTTATTTAATTTTTGATTATGTTTTACTTAATTTGCAATGACAGTTGTATACAAGATGTGACATTTTTTAAATTCTCTGCTGGTGTATATATATAAATAAAATATGGTGTAAGGGAGAAATTAATTTTCTTATTGGATTTAATTTTTAAGTCGAAATTAAATGTAAATGTATTTCCTTAAAAGAATAAATTAGATTTATATTTTGTAAATTAAAATATAATCTTTGAATGCAACTTAAATCAACTAAAATTTTGTTTCAGAAATGAAATTTTTCAATCAATGTATACAATATTTTAAATATTCAATTGAATTGATCCATAAATTGAAATAATTAAAAATAAAAATAATTGAAAGATTATAATTTTATTTAGAAAAGAAAGTGTAGATAAGAGAAATAAACAAAGTATTAAATCAATATAAAAATTAACAAAAAATTAACCTAATTATACAAATTCGAATTCTAAATAAAATTCGAGAATTTGTTAAGTCGAATCCGTACAATCCGTCAAATAACGGTTTTTTCAAGAATTTTATCGAGATAAAAAAAATTATCCTCAATGTTCAATGATTCATTGATATACTAAAATTAAAAATAAAAATAAAAAAAAAATTATAATTTTTATTTAGTGACAAGAAATATAAATAAGAGAAATAAATCAATAAATTAATTTTAGACATTAATAAAATTAAAATCTAACTATAAAAAATTAAACTCTAAAATTCAAGAATGAAAAAGACTGAATCCGCGCTCGAATTTTTTCTCGCCATTTTTTTCAAACATTTTATTGCGATGGAAAAAAATTTAATGTTAGAAATTGGAGGTAGAAAAAGAGACCGGCGGAGAAATTGGAGGAAGTAATTAGCGGTGGCGTCCGATTTTTTCGCGGGCACGTTAACGTCGGCGGAACGAGCCGCGGATGTCTCTCTCTCTCTCTCTCTCTCACTTTTTTTCTATTTCAGGTCAAAGGGCTCATTTCGCGTCATCCACGACGTGCTCGAGCACACCGCGAGCGGCTCACAATAAAAATGGCCTCGTGTGCGGGTAAGTCCCCGGCCTCGGACAGCTACACTACGAGTGGCAAGCCGTGTTCCCGAAGCGCGACACTTCATCTCCCGTCTCTCTCCCTCTACTCCTTCTGCCCTCTTCATCGTGCGAAGCGATGAAAGCTCGCCCGGGATCTGACCCGTTCTAATTCGAGCTAACTCGGCAGAGCTAGCGCGCGCTTTCTTCTACATCTATGCGAACCGTTTAAGTGAGGGCTGATCGAGGGAACGAGTGGGTTCTGCTCTCGATATTCCGAGCCCGAGAAGAGGCCTCGAAGAGAGTCTTCGAATTTCTTTTTTCAGCCATTTGCATTTCGCTCGGCGCGCTGATAATTCAATTCCGATAAACGGGAACAAGTTGGAGCGTTTTGCTAATTATTAACGTCCAGAATGGAGCTAGAGTCAGTTGGAGGCAGAAATATGCGATGGCAATCGCGAGTTCGGGAAGAGGCCCGATATAGTTTGAGTTTACTGCTGTCTTATTGGAGTTGATAATTGATGGACTTATTTCTCCTCTTCGTTTTATATAATTCGCAACTTTGCACTTTGGCTATTTTAACGTATCATGGAAACTTGCAAATTTGGTGCGATGTTCAAAGTTCGTCCTGAATTCGGGTTATTATCTTCTCCCGTCATTTACAATATTATTATTTTAGGTAGCATTGTGCAGCCTTCAATTTAGACGATTTGGAACAAATTAAATTTTAAAGTTTCATAATTTCGTTTTTGCTTTTATTAAAATTTTGCTGCTTCGGCAGTTTGAAAATGCGTGTCCGTTCAAATATATCGCAAAATATGTTACAAAGTTACATGAATGTGACATTACTCACCAATTTCCAAGTATTTTTGATGCACTGGATCGTACTGCTCCCAGGACAAACTGCGAAATCGACTCTTTTCTCTACTGGCTGGTAAAAGAGTGTCGTTTCTTCCGTGATGATCAATAATGTTTGGATTTCTGAAAAAAAATTCAGAACAATATTTAATTAACAATTTTGTTAGCAAAATATATTTGCATGATAATAATAACGTCCAAGCATATCTTTAGAAACACGATAAATTAATGTACCTATATTACGAACTAATAATAATTTATTCGAATTAGTTCACTAGAAAATAATATATGTTGCTATTTAATATTTCATCCTATTGTATTATTTATACCTCTCTCATTTTAATACCATTTATCTTCAATTATAATATAAATTTTATCTCAAATCTCTCACTAAAATGAAAACTCACAGAGAGAGAAAGAGAGAGAGAGAGAAAGAGAAAGAGAGAAGAGAAAAGAATGTAAGATTAAAGTTAATCGACGTTGGTGAAAGCAGCGCTGATGATAACCACGAGATAATATATCTACTCTGTATATCTATATTTAAAAGTTTCCCCATAAAATTAAATTAAGTTATTCCTTCTTATATTTATTATTGCATCTAAAAGTGTATCTATCCTATTTTGGGAGAAAACAGAGGGAATACTTATTCGGCGAAAATCGCGAGAGCAAATTTTCGGTCGGGTAGCGGAGAGATGAAATTCGAATCACGAGTATCGCATAATTCAGTATCGAACGCGGCACATGCAAAGTTTGCCAGTTTCCGAACTTGAGGTAAGACTTGCGGGTCAGAGCTATAACGGGTCCATGTTACAACGGACCGTAGCTATTTTGGCCGGAAAACGGAAGTAACACTAAGGGCTGATCCCTCGTTTACATTAACGGCAAATGGCAATGGACCCACTTTGAGCGAGTATAGAGAGGAGGTGAAACACACACAAACACGCAAACACGCTCACACAGACGCCTCTTTGTTCACTTGTTATCAGCTGTTTCTCCTGCATCCTCTTGCAATCTCGAGAGAGAATTGTATAACAATTTCCTCCATTTTCTCTTCATGCATTAGCATTCCTCTCCTTCAATATTCGAGTCAAATTAAACAATGACAGATGTGTTCAATGGCAGATTCTCGTTTATGCGAAATGAACGAGTGCGTCAACTATGTTGTCAACGAGAGTGTGTCAACTAAGTTGTCAACAAGAGTGTGTCAACTAAGTTGTCAACGAGAGTGTGTCAACTAAGTTGTCAACGAGAGTGTGTCAACTAAGTTGTCAACGAGAGTGTGTCAACTAAGTTGTCAACGAGAGTGTGTCAACTAAGTGTCAACGAGAGTGACTTTAAATTAGATTAGATTAGGTTTACTTTTTATTGAATATATGCAGATATATATTATTTATACATAATATTTTGCAATTTTATAAATATAAATCTTTAATAGTTTTTAAATCATAATATTTAATATTATTTTTTATGAATACCTATTTTTTGAATTTAAGTAAGTAAAACGTGATTATTAGATTTGTGTTGGATGTTTAAATATATATTAAATTTAATCTTCCATCCCTAGACTCTGCCTTCTTTAAAAGCGGAGAGATAGCTACGAAAAATTTATCGCTTATTAAATTCATGACAATAATGCTTATGACATAGGAGCGGATTTGCACGCGCGCGGATTAATTTCGTAAATTGTCGCGATTTACGAGCGCGTGTGCAAAGGGATAACTACCAAAATCGTGGATCTTTGATATCGCGATATTCGGGATCGTATCGATTTGATTGGTCAAATTACACATATGGGATAATTACGAGCAAAGTTGGTTGCAAGCCAGATGTAAATCACGCAATTCGGGAGAGGAAAATGGAAATTCGCCGTATGAAATAAGGCTGTTATTTTAGTTATAGCAATATCGTTCGTCACACACGTGTGTGGGCGTGCGAGCTCTCTTGAAAAAACATTTTATTTCGTCGAAAAACAGGGACCGTTGCCGAATTCCCGCCGTATATTAAAAGCAACTGAAAACTTTATGGATATAGGTGTGTTCTCCCGTGTCTCTCTCGCGAACGAGTCGATATTTTTACAGCACATACTTGAATTTTTATTGGTTAAAGCAGCGATCCTTTCTCGAATGGTCTGATTTATATGGAAGCTGCAAAGTGGATGTGTCACACTAAAAAATTATGTTTTACATTTTTATTTCGATTTTTATTTCAACTCATATTCTTTGAAAAAAGAAATATTTTATAGAAAGCATATATTTTATATTTAATTGTTACCTTCTCCATTATACCCTTTACATCATTTTTTTTATCATATTTTGTATTATTTTATATATTGTATATGTATATACATATATAATTTTCAAATAAGCAATATTATTTAAACTCGATCTTACTAAATATTAAAAAAACTTGAAGCTTCGAACATTTGGTCACTAATTCATTTCATCACCCAATAGTGATGCGTCATATTTTACCCTAATAATATCATATATTTTATAATTGTTTTGATATATCTATTAATATATAGGGATAAATTGGATAATTATTATTCATTTGCGGTGAGCAATGATTACGTCAATTATTAATATACTTGCATAATTTAGGTGTATATTAATGGTTATAAAATAACGTATTAGTGATGTACATGTTGAATGTAGAAAGAGATAAAGAGAGAGATGGGAAGAAGCGAGAGAGCGCGCATTCATAAAATTCTTTAATCTAGGGTCTTTTTTGATCTAGAGATAGCTAAAGTTTCCTTTTCCATGAATGTAAAGATGCGCATTTCTTTCCGGAGATTACGCTGTTCTTACAGGCGCGGTAAATGGAAGGGAAGAGGACTATATCTCGATGAAGAAATCGCTGTCTGTCCAATTAATGATAGCAACTGCGAATCAGCCGAGCGAAAATCCCTCTCGAGTATTCGCGCAGAGCGATGTACTACGAGTTTCCTCATCGGGATGAAATACCTTCTTTTTCCCAGTACGATTAAGGCCAATTATTTATTATAGGTTTCCGTTCTCTCCCTCTCTCTCGTTACGTATTTTTTTTTCTCTCTCTCTCTCTGCAAAGGAGAACCATCGTCGCAAACGAGATTTAAAATCACTTACGATAATAAAGGGCTAATAAAAGCCATCGCGATTAACGATGCGTAATTAATTAAACGTTCCGGAAATCAATCATCCACCACCTTTCCGGTTTCGTCCCGTCGTTTCTACAGAAATTATTATAGATATCTACCATATCTGAATTAAACTACTAAATACTTTAAGGTTAGGTTAGGGGTTAGAGATTAGGTTAGGTTAGGTTAGGTTACAATTTTGTTAATATAAATCTTTAATAGTTTTTAATATTGAATATTATTTTTTGAATTTAAGTAAATAAAACGTGATTATTAGATTCGTCTTGGATGTTTAAATACATATTATAAATTTAATCTCCCATCCCTAAACTCTGTCTTCTTTAAAAGCGGAGAGAGGTTAGGTTAGAGGTCAAGTTAAGTATTTTTAGTGTCGCAATATGTTTATTTGATTTTTAAAAAATCGAGGCTGCGACAAAATTGGTACAATTCGAGATAACCGTAATAAGTGTCTCCGTGAAAAATTAATTCAGAGCAATGTTCACTGAAAAAAATATTTGTGTAAAATTACATGATTATCCTAGGTTTTTTTCGACCCAGCATAATCATGCAATATTACTGCTCAGGTGGAAGATTACAGATTATATGTAATTTTATATAAAATATATATTATGCATTTTTAAGATTAAAAATATTCCACTGAACATTGAATTACACGTAGGAAATGCTATAAAATAATATTATAAATAAAATAGATCAATACTTATAAAATAAAGTTCTAATAAAGTAAAAATGGTAAATTTAAAATTACATGATTTTTGCATAAAAATAGTAATTTTACACTTTTTTACATTAATATGTATTTTCATTTTAAAACAAATGGAAAAAAATTACAGATGAGTAAGCAATTTTTCTATTATTATCTTAAAGTACATGGATTGTTTTCGGTGTTCATTGATATGTCAAATACTATTACAAATCTAGCGGACCAAAAGTACTAAAAACACTCTTAGGTGTTTTTAGTGTCGCGATATGTTTATTCGATAAAAAAAAAAAAATCGAGCCTGCGATAAAATTGGACAATCATCGAGAGCGTTCGAGATAACCGTAATAAGTGTCTCATCGAGAAAATAATTTGGAACAAACGTTCATCGATATGTCACGATATGCGTGTCTCGAATGGGATAAAAAAAAAAAAAAAAATGAAAAAAAACAGGAGATGGACAATTTGTTTCTTTGCGCGATATTCCACGATGACGTGTTTGCAATCGTCTGTCGCGGATGCAAGCTCGTGATGAAATATGCCGAGACGTACGGTTGGATAACGTACAACTATATATGTAGATTGCGCGACAACACGGAGATAACAATAATCTATAATGCACAACCTCCTCACGGAGAGAGAGAGAGAGAGGGGGTGGAGAGGGGGTGGAAAGGGGAAGGGGGTGCATCTCTCGTGTTGCCACGTAGCTTGACGAGACATTATAAACCGCCCCGATAATAAATGCTCGGAGCGATTTTCTCACGTGTCACGCAATTTTCAACAGACTTTCGGGACACACAATTTTTCAGATATATAAAATTTGAAAAAAAAAAAATTGCGCCGAAAAATCATATCGATCTTATGTATTAAAATCTGAAATTACTTTTGCACTCCACTCTATTAATCTCTCTCGACACATACTCTGACATTTATTCCGGTTGGTTCAACATCGCCAGAATTTGCTCGTTAACCTCTCCTCTATCTTTTCTCATAATCGAGAAAGTTTTCCGAAAAAAATATTCTAAATGACACTTTTCAAGAAATCTGCGCGTTAATTAAAAGAGAAAATGTTTATTTAACGAAAATGCTGCGAATATAAAATTCCAGAGAGAGAGAAGGGGAGAGAAAAGTTTGACAGTCAAATTTTATAATATCGATTACACCTGTCATGAGAATATATATATTCGAGTTAAAATAAATATGCATCGCTCTTTCAATTTACATGATCGAAAACTATTACTTTTCTCTCTCTCTCTCTCTCTCTCTCTTTCCCTTTTTCTTTTCATT